TCAATTCTTTTTACATGTAGTATGAGCTGTGCTGCCTGAAATGCCTGTTGGTGCGCTGGTCCTATGTAGTCACCTGTAACACGCCCTTAATGTTGAGAAAAATAAACAGCTCGGCAACACATTTGACCAATGTGCAGTTGGTCATTTATTTCGATCCTGGGCCATGCATCACCTTCGCGCAGTTTGAACATAGCTGAATATCTGTATGAAGCACTAAAAGGGCCTTTTAGCAGAACGCCGCTACACTTTTCGACTACATGTATACCTAAATCTGCACACAAAATGATGTGTTCCTGTGTGATGCACACCCTCCCGATGTTGCAAACGATAGCTCTACCTATAGCTGCAGCGCCGTTTTCTGATATTCACTGAGTGAAATTGAGAAAACTGGTGGAATCCATGACGTAGACACACACATACTTAAGTGTGCTCAATACGTCATTATTTCTCCTGGCATCGATGGCAGTAATGTCCTTTCTTTTGCCTTCTGTTACTGATATCGTCCCGGTGTTTCTCGAGCATTCAGACAGCTGCTAAGAAAACTTGGCCAATACGAGTGTGCTGGGAACACTGCGGGTGCCTGTTGATAACCAACTTCTCAAACAAACAATGCAGACGCTTCTGGGCGACCGTTGCTGGCGAGACAAGTTGAGGGCAAACTTACCTTTCAGCTGAATGCCCCCAGCAGCCTCAGCAACTCTTGTGCAACTGAGGAAGGTTTAATACCGCCGGCGAAGTCACTTGTAACGGCCTTGAAATGGCCAAATAACATTAACGTCACCTTATCATCATCTTAAAAAGTGATGGCAAATGATGAACATTTCTCAAACATATGAGCCGTATACCTAATGTACAATAAACACATTGGAAAGGCCTAAAGACCCCTAAAATCGGAAGCCAGAACAACTTACTGGCGAAATGTGAGGCGTTACAACATTTTTTCATCCATCCAGCCATTGTGTTTTGTCAGCCCCTTCCCCCGTCGCGACTCCCTCGGTCATAGATCCTCACCCCAACATCTTCAGCAGCAAAACCGCACCAACCACCCCTGTGCAGCCAATCGCAAAACGGCTCCTAAATCTGCGAGCCGAACACTATCGGCGGTCGCAAAGCACACCGTCACCGGTCCCCAGAGACGCTGGCTGGCTTCGGCGGGCGCCGATCGCGTCCGGATGACGCCGCGTGAATCAGACGAGCGCGAGAGGGGACTGCGGATCGATTCCCAGCTCGGGGACAGCGGTGGACGCGACAGACCGACAGCAGGGCAGAAGGACACACGCGCTGTGACAGGAGCAGTGCCGACCACCCAATTGGTCGGCAAACTTGTTTGTGGAAGGTATGACTCATATTCATTCTGATCAATCATAGACCTCTGTATGCATACATACAGAGGTATGCATACAGAGCTCCTGTATATACGGTTGCATGTATGCATGTATGTAGGTACCTGCATACGGTTTGCAGAGATCTATGGAACAATGTATTTAACGTCGATATCCTAGCGCGATTTGTAAGTGCAAAATCTGATATAAGATGCTTTCTAGCAGTCACCCAACTCATCTTGCACACCCAATGCCCTTCAATCCTAAATGATTGCCCCCGTTACTTGACTCGCAAGTCGCACATAATAATAGTCGGACGCTGCGACTGCACAAGTTTCATCGTCCTTGTGGTATATGTACGCCGACGTATCAAAATAGATTTTGCCATTCAGAACGGTGAATAACATCAGCTACATTCACGACCGGCAGGACCGACATCCGCCACGGCATGGACCACGACGTACACGACTGGGGAGGGTAGGGCTTCTTCCCCGGGTGGGGCGGTACAATCCGCTATGGAGTCGGGACCAGGGGCTTCGGTCTGGGGGTGTCGTGGGGTTTCCGGCGGTGGTTTTGCTGAGCACAGTGTACTTACAAGCAGACGGGGAATGATATGGGGACAGGACAACTTGAGTGGAAAATTCGAGGACGAAGTATTATTTCACGAGAAATCCCAAAGTCATATAACGTGTATTTTTGTCCATCGTCAAAGGCAAACAGGGCAAAATTTATGTCATTTGTGAACAAGGCAAAGCTTTCAGGATTTCGTGAGCAGTTCCGGACACAGCTGTCATTTTCCCAGAACTTCCTAATGATACTTCCCGCAGCATATTTTCATTTCGTCCGTATTGCGAAGCTCCGAGAGCCATAAATCATATAGCAACACAGTGGAGCGTATAACGTGGACATAGCGCTGACCAAATAGAAGAATGCAGACTTCTCGAAAGATCTTCGAGGCATCCCATCCTGCACAATGCTCACACGAATGTTATAAATATCCGAAAAAATGTTTTCGTATGTATGAGCATTGTGGCACAATCTATAATATCCACATAGCACATCTAATGAGGAGGCAAGACGCTGTACACTGTACAGTGTACACTTGCTCCAAGGTATTTCTGTTCATGTTCCGTCAATACGGAATAATCTTCTCATTTCTTGATAATCCCGACATTTTTCCAGCGATTGCTGTCCTATGCAGTAAGAGGGTAGGGATGAACACTTACGGGTATGGGGAGAGCCTCCTTCCCACACACACACACAGGCTGGTTGAGACTATTGCCGTGCAGGCAGATTCCTCGACGGAGATTGATCATAGCACTCGCCAAGGTGACAGGTACGGTCTCTAGTGAGCTAATTCTTTCTACCTTTGAATGCATGTTATGTAAAATGTTACTTACAGGCTACTACGTAGTTTCAGACCTGAAGCGTGGTCTGCTACAGATCAAAGCTTGCGTGCTTTGCTGAAAAGTTGAACTAGTGTTTTATGGTAGAACATCTTCCAGTCGTCAGCTTGCATGCTATTTAAAGTTCTCAGATTTTGATTCTTTGGAGCAAACGCATCCTTTGTCTTTCCATCCTTTGTTCGTACGCCACTTCAATCGACGCACATCCGCCAAACGACTGCGTTTGAACTTCCCAGTGGTACCACATCCGTACCTTATGACATGGCCAATGTCAGGACCACGCATATCGCCCCCCGTTTATTTCCGAAGATTCCCTCGGGCCACACGGCCAAGTCCATGCAATCACTTGAACGTCGAAAACGGGCGTGACATAATTCGATTTAGTTGTAACGGCAGCCAAAAGGCGCGTGACATTTATTGGTCCCCCGAGTGTTATAGTCGGCGATGGCGTCCACGATGGCGACTGCGGCTCGCCCGACTGAGACAAAGAACACTTCTGAGTTCTGACTAGCGGAAGCACATTTTCCATCCACTGGGTGTCGACAGATGAGCTTGAGACAATTCCAGAAGCGAACGCAATATAAAATTTTAATTTCGCCGAGAAGGCAAGTGTAAAGAATAGAAGACAAAGAGTGAATAGCCAGTGGCGGCTTCTATTAGACGGCCGGACGTGGGCCAGGTATTTAATAACTGGTTGATTGCAGCCCCCTCCCCATCCGGCGCTCCGCCAAGGATCACCGTAACCTCTCCTGACCAGCATGAGTCGGTTTCTAGCACTTCCCTTGTAGGAGGTCCGACCGTTCCACTTCAGGCAGCGCGAGATTAATAGCCATTTCACTGTATGTGAGGTCATCCTTCAAAGCTTTTTTTCGTACCCTCACATCATGTTCCCCTTCAGCTTTGTTTCGCCACAACCACCTGCTAGTTAGTGATCTAGATTATAATCAGGCAATAAAAAACACATGTGAATACAATTGAAGTCAACCTGGATAGTCGCGTAAAAACTATGTTTATTTCGGTGGATATAAACGGGAAGTTCAAATCTTTCGTGTACGTAAATGTGACTTTTTATGCGAGTCCGCCAATGCTCATAAGTGAAATTCAAAGGTACCGTTGATTGTTCGGCACTTATTTGCACGTTTATTGTTACTTACAACACTGCAGCTTCCATGATAACATCTAACTACCGCATTTCCACCTGCCTTTGCTGCTGCCACCCAACCTCAAAGTAACCTCCATTGCCCTGCATGCAGCACCGCATCGCATGAACACCCCACCCACCCCACACTCCTGCACACCCTTACCCCTCCCCGGGAGTGACTCACAGTCTTCGACCCCCTCCCCTGCTTCTGCCAGACGAGAGCAAATATTCAGAACACTGGATAGGAGGCATACTGATAGCCAACCAATAATGGCCAGACGCCAGCCACGTCCGGAGGGTAGGCGGCAAATTCTTGCGCGGTATGGTCGGAGCGGAAGTGCCCCATGAGGGTGTGTTCGTTATGAAAGCAATGCGCCTATCGGAGAGTAATGACAGATGGAGCTGAGATGCCGAGAAGCACGCGGGATAAGGTGGGGAGACTGATATACAGCCTGATGACGCATCGTCGTATCGGGAGGTGGGCTGCTGCCTTAGGTGATTTTTGGTTATGTGAATTTTGGAATATTGAGCATCTGCACTCTGCAGTAGTGCTTACTGCTTATGTATTTCATTCATCGATCGTTCTTTACAATGAAATTCCCTTCACTTCAGCTACGCAAAGCATCAACACCCCCGAATCCATTTAAATCCACTCCAACCCCCATCGCTGTTGCTTGCCTCTATCAAACTTTGTTCCACTCTTTAATAACCTCTGCCCGGCTCCAATACTGTGCGTGACCAATTAGATGGCAGGCGTCACGTTGGGTGCGTGCCTCCACCTCGTGCTAGCCGTCCACAACTCCCCTGCCGCGGGCACCAGCCCTCAGTCCCGACACCCTACCCATCGCCGGTCACTGGCCGCACAAACCACGTGACACACACAGACACATCACCGCCCGGTCAGTGGTCACTGGCCGGAGAGGTCACATGACCCGCCCACATCTGGCTCCGGGATCACGTGACCCGCCCCGGTCACTGACCACTGAGATCACGTGACTCGATACGCTGACCGGAAACAGATCGATGGACAATCGTTGCGCTGGCGCTCGTGGCACGTGCGTTGGTGGATCGAGATAAAGCAGAGAAAGGCAGAACCATCGGCTGTTTTCAGAGATAAACACTAGTTACGAATATGCTGCATAACCTTTCCGAGTTTATTGTGAAAAAAGAAAATGATCGCATGGGCAGACCATTAATTATGCAAGAAATGGGGACGATTATTAACCGAGCGCAATTACAAATGAGCCATTCCGTTGAAAATAGGTTTGGCCAGCTTAAAACTCATCTTTTTGTTGGTATGAGGAAAATACTTCACAACATAGCTATGATTCCTGCTAACAACACGGGGACCGTACAAAGAACAAAAACATCGCTCGTGCAACAGCCCGAATATCAGGAGCACAATTACCAAGCAGCCTATGCTTTCTGCCGATGCCTTTAAACAGCCGTTTACCTTGAGAGTATCTCGAGTGGAGGCCCCCAGCCGCCGCTGCTACCCCGTCCGTCTCTCCTCAGTCCCGGCCGACCCGCGGAGCAGGTTTCCAGTCGAGACGTCATCCGACGGGCGTGGCGGCGGCGGCGGCGGCGGAGGCTCTCTCAGGTCACTCAGAGCAGCTCCTTCACAGCATCCTCAACAGCAGGGATCGGGTCATCGCCGGGCCCGAGCCGCGCCACCGGCTGGCCCTTGCGGTCCACCACAAACTTCGCAAAATTCCACTTGATGAAGTTGCCCAGCGTCCCTCTCTGCTTGCTCTTCAGGTACACCCACAGTGGATCTGTTCCAGAGCCATTCACCTTAACCTTGGTGAACATGTCAAACTTGACGCCGTACCCCGCGACGAACTTCTTGATGTCGTTCGGCGTGCCCGGCTCTTGGTTATCGAACTGATTGCACGGGAAGGCCAGGATTCTGAGACCCTGCTCGCTGTACGTATCGTACAGCTGGACCAACTGCCGGTAGTTGGTCGGGGTCCGGCCTCACTTGGAAGCCACGTTGACGATGATACACACCTGGCCTTCGTACTTGGAGAGCGGCACCTCGTTGCCGTCAATATCGAGGCACGTGAAGTCGTAGATGGAAGCGGCATCCTTGGATGAAGCCATGATGGAGAGGCGATGGGCGTTGGACAGCCTGCAGCGTGGAGAATCACAGGCGATGGCCACGTCAACGACGAATCTGGAATTCGCGCGATGAACTGACTAGAAGGCTTCGAAAATAAGCGACTGTGTGCGTATCAAGTGCGTATGGTAACGGCGTCCAAAGCAGTACTTAAAAAATCCTTCGAACCTCCTGAGTCTATGAGCATTGCTATGATTGCTACAAAGTGAATGCATCAAAGAAGGCACCAAAGCTCAGATTGCGTGCCGTAGTTCTCGTCTGCTCCTCCCTCGAACTGGCATCGCCCTGGCCTCTGATCTATTATTCACAATGTACGGCGCCGACGTTTTAGCGGCTGCCGACCCAGGGAGGGGGCTCACGCACAGGCAGGGGAGAGGCAGAACTTTACATCGTCCAGTGGGGACGCACGAGACGTGATGAACGCCAAATCAATGCCTCGTCGAAGGCACACAGGGTGAAACAATGGCTCGCACTTGGCGTGATTGTTGGGAGCTTTACTATTCGATGAATCGGATTGTCGTGGAGAGGAGGGAAGGAAAGTTATGGAGAGGCGTTTTGCTGCAAACACGTTTTGGGAAAATAAATGAACTAGCACCTTGCTATTTCCGGGTCGGTCAGTCAGCTTAAAATTAGGAACATGCTATGAAATTATACAATAGTGGTAGTTATGTAATCATATAGCGTGACGAGAAACTGGTGAAGATATTCATGGTATTTGCAAGATTACTAGAACATATTGGGTATTTGTTTTAACTCCCCAGCCCAATGTGATGTGGGCGTTCTACCGACTTGGCCGTATATTTTCGAACAGCTTATGAGCCGTTGACTGAATGTCCTTTATAGCTCCCGGATGTCATGATAAGTTCCTTTATGCTCGGTGCATATATAGCTTCGCCTGAGTGCGAGCCATATTGTTTCGCCAGCTGTGTGCCTTCGACAAAGCATTGATTTGGCGTTATCAGAATCAGCTGGAGTTATATGTGTTCAAGTTTTTTCATACAATACATAAATATTATATCGCACTTGAAATAAATGCGCCAGCGCTCACGAATAGTTATTACACGAATACCAGTAATTTTCACAATACTACTTACATGCATATATATTATGAGACGGACATAACACATTCGGGTGAATGTGTCGACACACAACACACCCGAATGTGTTGTGTCCGTCCCATAATATACATATACTTTTACTGTTACTCTCTTAGTTACTATTACAGCATATATTTTTATCAAAATTATTTTCGATAACATCATAACACCATCATAGTTCGTGTTCGCGCGTTGATAAGCTCAACACCCTTTGTCATCCTGTCGCTCTGTGTAAGCCCAGCCGGCACAGCTGACGAAGGATCGACAGGCCACCCTAATCGCCTCGCTCTTTGTATCGCCGCGGGCCAATAGCTCCGGCACGGCGCGTCCCCAGTTGAATGGTCTAATCAGACGGTGCGCAGAGCTCAGAGATGAAAGCTCGCCCTCCCAGCTCTGCGCAGCACTAATGACAGGCTGCCGCGTTCGCCCCGGGGGGATGGTGATGTCCCGACTGATTCTCCCATCCCCGACCGGCCGACAATCGTGTTCGCTTTGATGCCAGGTGACCGCACTTCCCCCGGCTCAGTAAAGGCCAAAGGGATTGTATTTGTGGGAGAGGTCGTCCTCCGGCCATAGGCCATTGCTATGATGACATAGAGGGGAGGTTTTATCTGCAGCGGATGAACCGAAATCGTAAGATAATTGGGGATCATTGTTTCATCGTTTCTCTAGGAACGATAAAACATTATGCGATAACGCATTATGAAATTCAATAATCCTGCATCAAGGATCACATTCCAATCTCTGAAGTCTTGTCTAACAAAATAGGTTCATTTTCTTGGCCGGACGATACAGATTACAGGACCATCGGTTCAGGCAAAGATGTGGGCGTGAAAAAAAATGAGAATATACAGCCATCCGACCCTCAGGCCTCAACTCTCGTTCACTGCCTTTCGGTACTCCCTGTGTGAGCATTATCTCACCATTGGTTCTTCATTATCGGCTGGATGAGACCCCAGTGGCACGGAGCAATCCTGTTTACCCTGTCCCTTCCTCCCAATCCCACCCACACACAACCTCTTCACTTCTATATATAAGTATGAAGATATTTATAGCTTTCTGCATCTGATTGTTTTCACCCACACAGCTCAGCCAGCCGAATGGGGTTCGATCAAACGGTTCTCCCACACATGGCACCGGATACAAATGCTGCCGAAAAATGGACGATGCAATCGATGAGTCACTCATACCATCCTGACAAAGATAATGAAAATCAAACAGTCTGCGGCAGGCAGCGCTCAGCCAAAAGGGAAGTATAATGAGACTCGCGGATGAATTCATACGGTGATACATGGGTCATGAGTCCAGGGGTGCGGAGCCGGAGCCGGAGCTGGAGCTGCAGAGCCGCCGGGGCCGGCACATTTTGCCCGGAGCCGGAGCCGGAACCGGAGCCTATTTTTTTCCGAAGCCGGAGCCGGAGCCGAAGCTGTCTGAAATTTCCACGGCCATAGGGGATGTACTGAGTCGGAGCCGGAGCCGGAGCCGGAGCCGGAGCCGGAGCCGCCGGAGCCGGACCATTTTACTCGGAGCCGGAGCCGGAGCCGGAGACGCCATGACATTTCACCCGGAGCTGGAGCCGGAGCTGGAGCCGTTTTTTTTTCTCCGGAGCCGGAACCGGAACCGGAGCCGTCTGAAATTTTCACGGCTCCGCATCTCTTGCCATGACCCGCGCCCGTGTGTCTATTCCGTGTCGGATTAAATGGCACAATATTGCACGATGGAGGCAACGACAAAACAATGTGTCGTTATCTGGATAAACAAATGACTTTGTATGCAAACAACTCATCATCTCGTCAGTTCTATTGTTCCGTAAGTCCGGGAATGCAACTCTGGCCATTTGCACAAGCGTTCATGAATTTTGAGTGGGTGATGTAAATCTATTGAATTAAACATGACATAAGAATTTAGCATAATTTGCGTTGCATTCATACCATTCACTGTGCTTAACTAGTAGTCTGCGCACATATACCAACAAATACTCTTATCCTGTAAATGCGGCATACTTAAGAAGGTCAGCTGATAATTGGTTACATGCCGGTGAGAATTACAACTGACAGTTTTTTTTTAATTATTTACAAAAAAAAAACAAGGGATTAGAGCCGGAGAAGTGAATGCTTCATCAGAACTTCCAGTATGGATGCATCTCGGTGATGCATGTCACTTATTCTGTCACAAACAACTAACGTGAAGCTCTCCCGACGCTTACATTTTATGTCTCAATCAAAACTAGACCAGCCACTTTCCCAAAAAACAACCACCGTCCGCCAGTCATATATAGAAATTCCACCCGTCCCCCTCTCAGAACTCCCGGTGGGCCGCCACTGTCTTCTGGCTGGCCCGGAGATGAGATGGGATGTCAACACTCAACTGCTTCGCCAGTGTAGGCTAATTCGCGCAATGGCAGCGAATTTATGAAAATGAACACGGTTTCATAACGAGGACGGCTTGATTATGTGAGGCAGGCACGTGAACAAATGTCGCATTGTGTTATGTGTTCACGATAACAATATATAAACGAAATGACTTTTGTCGACTAAGCCGGCTGGGAAAATATAAGCCTATGTAAATTTCACATTGCGCTTTGACTGCAAAAGAATGAACTTGATGTGGCGCATTAATAAGAATCTTATCTGTCTGGCGTCAAAAATGTAAGTCAGCCCCGTTCTGCAATTCGGCTTACCACCCTGACAAGTGATGTCAGTTACGGAAAATCGGAATACCGATACCAAACCAAATACCAACCAAAACCGTTGAGAAATACCGAAACCAAACCAACTTGGGAACATGAGGAAAATACCAACTTTTTACCGATTTCTTAGCATTAGCGAGGGTTCATGATACCAACAAAATACCAAACACATTAGGATTGAAATACCAAATACCGAGTTGGTATCGGTTTGGTAGGTATCGGTATACCAAAAAGTTGGTATCCGATTGACATCTATAACCCTGACTGAGGTTGGTGCGACCACTTGAAGTCTTTTTTTGCACTTTCTTGGAATGCGTAGGAGATAGAACTGAGAGCTGGCCTACCTGGCCTCTGATACAAGCCAGAACTTAGACATCAACCGCATTTTCAGGTCAGTGCAGGTCACTGACCTATGATGTCATAAGTGAACCTCTGCACGGTCCTAAAATGTTGCAACTTCACAACGTCCTCAGTGCCAGAGGAGCTTTCACAGGGAGGTGAAATTTACGGGACCTAGTATCCTCCAGAGGCCTCACAACTTCCGTATCTCGGATTTTGTTTATTTTTATTATAAGGTCACATGAGGTCAGATCGCTCACGTGGCCTCACCATAATACGTCAAAGAGGAAATATTAAAACTGTTATTTTGGCGGCGCTGAGTAGTGATTTGTGTAGTTTGACCTGACTTTGACCTGAAGTTAACACCTTATGTGGGTTCTCCCAAACGAAAAGCATAACATTCGACGTGCCTGAGACATGTGCCAATCACGCGCCACCACGGTTAACACAATGGTGCCAAAATCGTGACTCTACGACCATTTTTGGCAAAACTATTCACCAAAAACCGAGCCCCTACGTAACGCCATTTGACCTGAGGTCAGTGATCACTGGTTGACCTGAGGCCTTAAAATTGGTTACCAGCTGCGTGTCTCAAAGGGGCAATTTTTTCGCGAGGCTCTAGCTCGACCAGGGGCGAAATGGCGAGGGGTTCCACCCCTCCCCCATATATGGCTAACCGATGAGTTCGGTGAGGGTCAACTCCGAAGTTTTATCCAAAATTTCAACTTACTTTTAGCGACTGACCTGACCTTGACCTGAAGCAAACATTTTAAGATTACGCCTTCCAAACAAAAAAGCAAAGGGATCACTGGGATGTAGGACTAGGGACAGCAAACGTTTTAGAGATATTATTTGTAAGATGTGTGTCCGATTATGTAGCACGTGGTTCAGAAGGTCTGGCCAAGTTTAGTTATGAGTACAATAAAGCAAATGAGTGTTACTAGATATTGCGTAGCATCTCCTGGCTATTATGCCCCCATAACATGACCATCATGACGCTTATTGCTGGTTCAGTATGACAGATAGTGCTAAATTAGACTACACGCATGCATTTAGCCATTATTCT